CTAATGCCACATTTTTCTGCTATTTGTTTCAATTGATCCCTCGTGCAACCTTCCAAGTCCTCAGGCTTGCCTGACTCCACAAACGCTTGCACCTTATCCATCTTTGTCCTGTGAGTCTTCCCAAGAGAGAGAATATACACCTGCGGTCACACAGTTTATTATTTCAGCAAGGGTGTACAAATCCACTCTTGGACAGGGTGTGGGTGTGTCAGTTCACTCTCCCGGACACAGGCCCCCAATTTATTATAGTCTTGTGTGTTGGTTGGTGGTGTTGTTGTCGTTGATCCTTCTCTACGGACAACCCAACCCACAACTCGGTAGAGTGCTTATACCTCACTAGGAGATCACCCTTGGCGCTTCTGGCTCTTGGAGAGGGGCTCAACGTCACACGTTTAGGGGATGCGGCTCCAACACTTAGCCTCGTTGTCACGTGCACACACCCACTCGAGCCGCTGTGACTCCCCACTCTCTCCTTAGGTGATATGATCTCCTCAATCCCCTTTTGACTTATTAGTATTACCTTCTACCCTGTCCACAGCAGTGGTTCTTGGTTCTTTCTCTCTCTCTCTCTCTTCTTCTTACTACCTCCTGGGAAGCCTCACTAGGACAAGGGCAAACACCAGCAAATTGGGATACATTTACTGGACAAAGCACATACACGATACATACACACATATAATAATAATGAATCCTATACTCTATAATATTACAATCAGGTTGCACTCCAACACCATCAGAACTCTATTATCAGCTTATCAAGTGGTATCCTATCTCCTGGTTCACCACCTGATACTATCAACCTCCTCAAGTTGATCAAGTCTACATACACTGTTGCACCATCAGCAAGATATATATATATATATAATATATATATATATATATATATATATATATATATATATATATATATATATATATATATATATATATATATATATATATATATATATATATATATATATATCTATAAATGTGTACAAAGGAAACCAGCATTTGAATGCAATAACATATATCAGTATAAATGTTCCTTGATACACAACAATGATCAATCGATCACTCTATCACTCCTAGAACACATACATCTGTAGGTAATCCAGCCTACGACTGTAACTCTAAACTTCAGTATAAAACACTCCTTGACATAAGAATGCAAACAATCACTCACCTCTCACTGCGTCTTGCACGCTAATGACAACCAAACACTATCAACTCCCTACAAGTAATCCACCAGAACTTCCCTTCCACCTCTGGAAGTTCACTACCCTGATATCTTCAGGTTCTTCCGGGCTTAACTACCAGGATCCTCTGCAGCTCCTCCAGGCTGCTATCATGAAGTTTCCTTGAGCAACTACGGTGCTTCACCCTTCTGCTAGGTTCCTCCACAGCTCTCTTGGCTGCTACACCATGAAGTTCCTCGAGCAACTATGGTGCTTCACCACCTCTACAGAAGCACGTGACACTCCTCTTCACTGCTTCTCCTCACAGCTCGAGGTCCTCTGCTCCACTACCTTGGAGTCTCATCAATTACTTCATCTAGGCTGGCTTCGAAGTTCTCAGCAACTTCTTCCCCAAAGACAAACCTGCAACCCATCGACACTCCAATAAAAATGTTTCCCCTTTAACACATAAACAAAAATAACCACACAATATGCTTGCCTCAAACCTCTATCTGTCCTCTACATACAGTGAGAGTGGACTCCCCCGTTTTGGGTGGGTCCATACTCCACCTCGCCCGGCGGCGGTCCTCACTCACTGGGAGGGGCCTTCGCCGTCAGGAGGAGCTCTCAGTCACCTGCCAGCGCTCAGAGGGGATGGACGTCGCTCCGTGTTCCTCCCTCTTCACTCTCTTATTTTAGGCTTTCTGCCTTATTAAAACATGTCTAACTTATAAATAAACATTGCTACTGTCGCTGGGCACACGACCAACTACAAGCAATCACTATGAACTGGCGTATATCGTGCTTACCACAGATTGTCTGGTCGAGGGCGCTCCTCCCTCTGACGAAGCTTGGTCAGGGCGCTTCCACGGCCCACAATAATGCCTCTGGGCGGTTTAATACTCTCCTCTTCGACCAGGACTTGAGACCACAACGTTCCCAGCTCAGTTCCACAGCTGGCACGTCTACACACTTCTCTTCTCTTGGAGATATATCACTAGGGGTTCCCTTCTGACGGGAGCTCGAACGGAGCGCGGCTTTCCCCTGCGATGTCTGGCACTCAAGTGAGGTCAAAGCCCCTCCAGAAGCGAGCCTCACGCCTCCAGCAAAATGTCCACATCTCCTAGCCAGTCATTTATGTTTTCTTCTTCATTGCCCATAATCTTAAATTGTTATACATATCCAAGCAACTATTTTACATATGTGTTATCACCTCAATATTTGCTAGACCTTCTAATCAGGTCAGGCTTGATGAATAACTCTCAAGGAGGGAGACTCGTTTCTCCTGCAGGCTGAGATCATAACAGAATCACACGAGGCTCCTGCCTAGGGCTCGCAACCCTAGTATCGGTCGTGGAGTGTCCTACACAGCGGAGCTGATCGGAACCTGCCAGCTACAGGTTGTATTGTGGTTGAAGGCCTCCAAACCCAGTGGGATTGTGATTTGGCTGGCCTGTGGCCAGGGTAGATTCGCCGAGAGAATCCAAGAGGATTCATCGTGGGCCGAAGAAGAGAACCAGGGCTACTCAAAGTGCGCACCGTGGAGCATCCTGTGTCTTCAGAGGAAAACAACTCTGTACATTAAAGTGTATTTATAACCCCGTGTGACTGTTTATATATTTAATTATATATATATATATATATATATATATATATATATATATATATATATATATATATATATATATATATATATAGGGATAGGGATATATCCCTATATATATATAGGGATCCCTATATATATATAGGGATATAGGGATAGGGAGGGATAGGCATACGAAAGGCAACTGAGGTAGCATTTCCAGCATTCTTATCCCCATGTACAGCAGCCAACGAATTGGTAGGGCAGATCCTACCAGAGCGTATGAGAGAGACAGCGGGAACTCATGATCAAACGTTCATCGAAGCAGCCAGACAATGGGACACCATTGCACACCCTCAACCCCGACCACAAATCCCAAAAGACCACAAGCAGGCCCACTGGGATAGCCCCATAATGGAAAAGACTGTCACAGCAATGATTGACAACGCTGATGCTGAAAACAAAGCCCGCCTCCTAGCGGTAACAGCACCCCACGCCGGGGATTTCTTATTTGCTGTGCCCAATGCAGCCCTGGGAACTCACCTCAGTCATGACGCTCTCCGCATTGGAGTTGCCCTTCGCCTTGCCGCCCCCATCCTCACCGAACATAGGTGCATCTGCGGAACTGCGATGGCAGACCAATATGGTCGTCATGGTCTGGTATGTCGTAAATCACAGGGTAAAATTGCAAGACATGAAGAAGTCAACGACATCATCAAGAGGAGCCTCGCCACAGCCCGCTGCCCGGCACAAAGAGAACCACACTTATCCAGACCTAACGACCCTCAGAAGCGCCCTGATGGGGTCACCTTGCTACCTTGGAAGGATGGTAAGCAAGTGGTATGGGACTACACGTGCGCTGCCACACTGGCCAGTACCTACCTCCACTACAGCACACGTGAAAGCGGTGGTGCTGCTTCTTTCAGGGAATCGCAGAAAATTATTAAATATAGAGGTCTAGCACACTGCTACAACTTTGTTCCGATCGGCTCGGAGACCCTCGGTTCGTGGGGAAAATGTGCATTGAAGTTCCTGAAGGAATTGGGGGACAAATTGATCAGCGCTACAAAAGACCAGAGAGCAAAAAGTTTCTTGTTCCAGCGCCTCAGTGTTGCGATTCAGAGGGGAAATGCCTGTTGCGTCTTGGGCACTAGTCCAACTTCAGAGGAATTCGAAGAAGTGTTTGACTTGCAACAATGATCTAACCCGTCTGCGACATTCATCAATGTTTCCCATTGTTGTGTTTTTCAAGAGATCCATAACCTTTAAGCACCTTTTTGCATTATTATTTTTGTATCAACCCATGTATATCTTGTAACCATCAAATGCATAATAAAGCACAAAAAATAAAAAAGGAAGGGGGTGGTAGGAGAAAAGCACACAGAAACTGTATTGGAGGGGATCTAAACATTCCCCTAATGCGTTATGCGTGGTTTCCTCCGAGGCTATGGGTCCCCCTTCTTCCAGCTAGAGGTGGTACTCCCTTCCTCATATATATATATATATATATATATATATATATATATATATATATATATATATATATATATATATATATATATATATATATCAGAGCATGTGTATCCCTCCCCCTTTAATTTAACTTGCGTTACGGAACACATCCCTTGAAAGCCTCTACTAGCTTGGGGCCGGATTCCCAAATTCTAATAACACCAGAAAAGAACCCGGTTACGACCCAGTAGGGCCGTAACAGTAACACACATCAGGCATCACATAGTAACACAGACCTGGCATCACATAGTAACACCGACCAGGCGTCACATAGTAACATAGACCAGGCATCACATAGTAACAAAGACCAGGCGAAACATATAAACACAGACCTCGCATCACATAGTAACACAGTAACATAGACGAGGCATCAGACAGAAACACAGACCAGGCATCACGTAGTAACACAGACCAGGCATCACACAGTAAGACAGAGCAGACATTACATAGAAACACAGACCAGGCATCAGGCAGTAACACAGATGCCTGGCAATTGTTACTTTGTGATGCTTGGTCTGTGGTACTATGTAATGCCTGGTGTTTGTTAATATGTGATGCCTGGTCCGTTTTTATCTGTTAAGCTTGGTCTGTGTTACTATGGGATGCCTTGTCTGTGTTACAATATGATGCTTGGTCTGTGTTACTATGTGATGCCTGGTCTGTGTTACTATGTGATGCCTGGTCTGTGTTACTAAGTGACGCCTGGTCTGTGTTACTATGTGATGCCTGGTATGATGAATCACATAAAGATACAGACCAGGCATCAGACAGAAACACTGACCAGCCATCAGACTGTACCACAGACCAGGCATCACATAGTAATTCAGACCAGACATCAGACAGTAACACACACAAGGCACAAGACAGAAAGACAGACCAGGCATCACATAGTAACAGAGACCAGGCATTACATAGTAACAGAGACCAGGCATTACATAGTAACACAGACCAGGAATCACATAGTAACGTAGACCAGGCATCAGATTGTAACACAGACCAGGCATCAGACAGTAACACAGACCAAGCATCAGACGGAAACTCAGACCAGGCATCACATAGTAACACAGCCCAGGCATTACATAGTAACACAGACCAGGCATCAGACAGTAACACAGTCCAGGCATCACATAACAACACAGACCAGGCATCAGACAGTAATACAGACCAGGCATCGGACAGTAACACAGATCAGGCATCGGACAGTAACATTGACCATTTGTCACATAGTAACACAGACCAGGTATCAGACAGTAACACAGAACAGACATCAGTCTGCATCAGAGACCAGGAATTACATAGTAACACAGACTAGGCATCACATACTAACACAGACCAGGCATCACATAGTAACACTGACCAGGCATCTCATAGTAACACAGACCAAGCATCAGACAGTAAATACAGAACAGGCTTCAGATAGTAACAAAGAGAAGGCATCAGACAGTAACACAGACCAGGCATCAGTCAGTAACACAGACCAGGCATCAGTCAGTAACACAGACCAGGCATCAGACAGTAATACTGACCAAGCATCACATAGTAATACAGACCTGACCTCACATAGTAACACAGACCAGACATCACATAGTAACACAGACCAGGCGTCATATAGGAACACAGACCAAGCATCACATTGTAACACAGACTAGGAAATACATAGTAACACAGACCAGGCGTAAAATAAAAACACAGACCAGGCATCACATAGTAACACAGAACAGGCATCGGACAATAACACAGACCAGGAATCACATTGTAACACAGACCAGGCAACAGACAGTAACACATATACAGTAACACAGTCCAGGCATCATATAACAACACAGACCAGGCATCACGTAGTAAAACCGACGGGGCATCAGACAGTAACATAGACCAGACATTAGATCGTAACACAAGCCAGGCATCAGACAGTATCACACAGTAACACAGACAAGCCATCAGATAGTAACACAGCCAAGACATCAGACAGTAACTCAGACCAGGCATTAGACAGTAACACAGACCTGGTATCACATAGTAACACAGACCAGACATCAGACAGTAATACACACCAGGAATAAAACAGTAACACAGACCAGGCGTCAGACAGTAACACAGACCAGGCATCAGAGAGTAACACAGACAAAGCATCAGACAGTAACACAGACCAGGAATCAGACAATAACACAGACCAGGCATCAGTCTGTAACACAGACCAGAAATCAGACAGTAATTCAGACCAGGCATCACATGTTAACAAAGACCAGGCATCACATAGTAACACAGACCAGGCGTCACATAGTAACACAGACCAGGCGTCACATAGTAACACAGACCAGGCGTCACATAGTAACACACACCAGGCATCACATAATAACACACACCAGGCATCACATAGACACACAGACCAGGCATCACATAGTAACAGAGACCATACTTCCCATAATAACATTGACCAGGCATCATATAGTAACACATAGTAACACAGACCATGCATCAGACAGTAACACAGACCAGGCATCAGACAGTAACACAGAACAGGCATCAAATAGTAACTCAGAAAAGGCATCAGACAGTAACACAGACCAGGCATCAGACAGTAACATAGAGCAGGCGTCAAACAGTAACTCAGACCAGGCATCAGACAGCTAGACAGACCAGGAATCACATAGTAATACAGACCAAGCATTTCATAGTAACACAGACCAGGCATTACATAGAAACACAAACCAAGCATCAGACAGTAACACAGACCAGGCATCAAATAGTAATTGAGACCAACCATCAGGCAGTAACACACACCAGGAACAAGACAGAAAGACAGGCCAGGCATCACATAGTAACACAGACCAGGCATCAGACCGTATCAAGGTATCACCCAGACAAGGTATCACATAGTAACACATACCAGGCACCACCAAGTATCACAGACCAGGTATCACGCATCACACAGTAACACAGACCAGGTATCACGCATCACACAGTAACACAGACCAGGCATCGAACAGTAACACAGATAAGGCCTCACATAGTAACACAGACCAGACATCAGAGAGTAACACAGACCAGGCATAAGACAGTAACACAGACAAGGCATCACTTAGTAAAACCGACCAGGCATCAGACTGTAACTTAGACCAGACATTACATAGTAACACAAGCCAGGCATCAGACATTATCACACACCAGGCATCAGACAGTAACACAGACAAGCCATCAGATAGTAACACAGACCAGGCATCAGACAGTAACACAGACCAGGCATCAGGCAGTAACACAGACCAGGCATCAGACAGTAGGACAGAACAGGCATCTGACAGTAAGACAGACCAGGCATCAGACAGTAACACAGACCAGGCGTCACATTATAACGCAGACCAGGCATCAGACAGTAACACAGAACGGGCAGCCCATAGTAACACAGATCAAGCTTCAGACAGTAGGACAAACAAGGCGTCAGACCGTAACAAAGAACAGGCGTCGCATAGTAACACAAACTAGGCATCAGACATTAACACAGACCAGACATCACATAGTAACACAAACTAGGCATCAGACAGTAACACAGACCAGGCATCAGACAGTAATACAAACCAGTCATCAGAGAGTAACACAGACAAAGCATCAGACAGTAACACAGACCAGGCATCAGACAGTAACACAGACCAGGCCTCAGTCTGTAACACAGACCAGAAATCAGACAGTAATTCAGACCAGGCATCACATAGTATCACAGACCAGGCATCACATAGTAACGCAGACCAGGCGTCACATAGTAACACAGACCAGGCATCAGTCTGTAACACAGACCAGAAATCAGACAGTAATTCAGACCAGGCATCACATAGTATCACAGACCAGGCGTCACGTAGTAACACAGACCAGGCGTCACATAGTAACACAAACCAGGCATCACATGGTAACACACACCAGGCATCTCATAGTAACACAGACCAGGCATCAGAAAGTAACACAGACCAGGCTTCACGTAATAACACATACCAGGCATCTCCAGTAACAAAGACCAGGAATCACATAGTAACACAGACCTGGCATCACAAAGTAACACAGACCTGGCATCTCATAGTAACACAGACCAGGCATCACAAAGTAACACAGACCTGGCATCTCATAGTAACACACTCCAGGCATCTCATAGTAACACAGACCAGGCATCACAAAGTAACAGAGACCAGGCGTCAGACAGTAACACAGACCAGGCGTCAGACAGTAACATAAACCAGGCGTCAGACAGTAACACAGACCTGGCATCACATAGTAACACAGACCAGGCATCTCATAGTAACACAGACCAGGCGTCAGACAGTAACACAGACCAGGCGTCAGACAGTAACACAGACCAGGCGTCAGACAGTAACACAGACCAGGCATCACATAGTAACACAGACCAGGCATCACATAGTAACACAGACCAGGCATCACATAGTAAGAAAGACCAGGCATCTCATAATAACACAGACCAGGCATCTCATAGTAACCAAGACCAGGCGTCAGACAGTAACACAGACCAGGCGTCAGACAGTAACACAGACCAGGCATCACATAGTAACACAGACCAGGCATCACATAGTAACGCAGACCAGGCATCACATAGTAAGAAAGACCAGGCATCTCATAATAACACAGACCAGGCATCTCATAGTAACACTGACCAGGCGTCAGACAGTAACACAGACCAGGCATCACATAGTAACACAGACCAGGCATCACATAGTAACGCAGACCAGGCATCACATAGTAAGAAAGACCAGGCATCTCATAATAACACAGACCAGGCATCTCATAGTAACACAGACCAGGCATCAGACAGTAACACACACCAGGCATCAGACAGTAACACACACCAGGCATCAGACAGTAACACACACCAGGCATCACATAGTAACACAGACCAAGCACCAGGCAGTAACACAGAACAGGCTTCAGACAGTAACAAAGACCAGGCATCAGACAGTAATACACAACAGGCATTAGACCGTAACACTGACCAGGCATCACATTGTAAGACAGACCAGGCGTCACATAGTAACACAGACCGGGCGTCACGTAGTAACACAGACCAGACATCATACAGTAACACTGACCAGGCCTCATATAGTAACACAGACCAGGCATCACATATTAACACAGACCAGGCATCACATAGTAACAAAGACCATTCATCACACAGTAACACTGACCAGGCGTGACATAGTAACATAGACCACGCGTCACTCAGTAACACAGACCACTCCTCATTCAGTAACACAGACCTGGCATCAGACTGTAACAAAGATTAGGCATCACGTAGTAATACAGACCTGGTGTCACGTAGTAACACAGACCAGGCATCATATAGTAACACAGACCAGGCGTCACATAGTAACACAGACCAGGCATCGTATAGTAACACAGATTAGGCATCACGTAGTAACTAAGTCCAAGCATCTCATAGTACCACAGACCAGGCATCACATAGTAACGGAGACAAGATATCAATTAGTAACACAGACCAGGCATCACATAGTAACACAGACCAGGCATCAAACAGTAAGACAGACCAGGCATCACATAGTAACACAGACCAGGAATCACATAGGTACACAGACCAGGCATCAGTCAGTAACAAAGACCAGGCATCACATAGTAGCACAGACCAGGCATCAGACAGTCACACAGACCAGGCATCACAGAGTAACAGATACCAGGATTCATATAGTAACACAGACCAGGCGTTATATAGTAACTAAGACCAGACATAACATTGTAACAAAGACCAGGCATCGCCAGTAACATAAACCAGGCATCGCCAGTAACATAAACCAGGCATCGGTCAGTAATAAAGACCAGGCATCACATAGTAATACAGACCAGGCATCAGACAGTAACACAGATCTGGCATCTCATAGTAACACAGACCAGGCATCTCAAAATAATACAGACTAGGCATCACATAGTAGCACAGTCAAGGCATCACATAGTAACATAGAGTAGGCATCACATAGGCACACAGACCAGGCATCAGTCAGTAATACAGACTAGGCATCTCATAGTAATACAGACTAGGCATCTCATAGTAATACAGATAGACTAGGCATCACATAGTAACATAGACCAGGCATCTCATAGTAACACAGACCAGGCATCTCATAGTAACACAGACCAGGCATCTCATAGTAACACAGACCAGGCATCACAAAGTAACACTGACCAGGCATCTCATAGTAACACAGACCAGGCGTCAGACAGTAACACAGACCAGGCATCACATAGTAACACAGACCTAGCATCTAATAGAAACACTGACCAGGCGTCAGACAGTAACACAGA